TTCTACATTTTCCTCGAATCTCAAGCATTTCTCTTCGTACGACAGCTCCATTTCCTCTGCAGTTTTCTGCACCATATGACTATTATCCCTTTGGTCACGCCAGAATTCTATCAGCTCCATTTGAAATTGTTCGTTTTCGTTTGCATGTTAGAGAAATGTTGTTTTATTAGTAGTTAGGAATTTAGGAAAGATTGCACTTTTTTAAAGTAGAATCTTCTTATCCTTCCATTTTTTTTCTCCAAGATTGACGTCATGAAACTATGAGTACAGCATATTTATAACCTCCTCCATATACACTCCATATGCATACTCCAGAAATTATTGAGCTGAAAAGTTATGCAATGAGGGTAGCGTCTATGGTATTATTGAGGGTACGAACTGCGGCGGAACCATTGCCCTCAAAGTTGAGGTGGAATCAATAGGATACCTCCAGTTTATAGAGCATGCGTATTATCAAATTCAATGCTTAGAACTATTAATCTAAAGTCTGAATTCTTCGAAAATAAAGCAGTTGGGACAGCGAGCCTCGATGGGTCAACGTCATAAAGAGGCTATTAGAAAATCTTGGACAATTTTTTTTCGAGTCCTCATAGTTCCGGTTTATTGAAAAATGCTTGGAACTATCTGCTAGTAGAATGCCGTGAGGGTATAACCTTTGCCCTGTGAGCATAATATGGATGCAGCGCATCAGATTAGCAGTTTGTAGGTACAAGTTAGAACAGCAGCTTCGAGCAAATTTTTCATTTTGAACTATCACGACTGAACAAAGCTACGACTTTCATGAGTAAAATCAGTAAATTGTCTCCAGGAACTCTAATACCTAATTCACGGTTGACTGTCCTTGCAACTTCCTTGAATATGGAGATACGGGAAGTTGGCTAGTTTTTTGGTGGAATGCAGATGTAGTGATTCTGTTTTATGTGCTACGTATTGAACACACTCATCAGCTGCAGAATTTGGTTAGATAAATGAAGGTTAGAAAAGTTTTCCGATAGTTTTTCATTATTGACAGCTTAAAGCTTTAAAAGATTGAGAAAATCTAATAGGAATATAGTCCGATATCGACCGTGTCCGTTTCACGCCTACATAAGGCAAGTAGCTTAGATAGTAACGCTTCCTTTGTGTAAAAAATATATTTTGAGTTGCTGCCAGAGTACCACGTGCGGAGCAATAAACTTATTGCACAAAACTATTATTATAATAAGTCCAACTATGCAAAAGATAACTCACTAACCTTGCAAGAAACACAAGTTTGAAATTTCTACAGTACTTTGCAAACAACCCAATTTTGTTTCCTGCTCTCCTTGTTTGTAGAGCTAACTCCCACAAGCTCCAACTATTTGTCATACTTTGGAGCTTAAACTACACTTTTTGCTTGGTTGGGGAAACATGCAATAGATCCTGAGAAAAAGTTCAATTTTGAAGCGGACATAATTTTCGAGCAGTTGTCTCCCTAGTTCTCAGCCAATAATTTCTTCGGCTGGAAAACTGAATTATTGCATCTCTCCTATCTAACATGGCAAAGTTCTTCTTCGACATCTCTGATGAATTGTCTTAGAAGCTTGAGCGGTTTTTTAGAACCAAAAAATCTCAAAAATCAGAAGTTTGGCAGCACATCATAACATCGTTTGAAAGAAAAAATTTTGAGAGATGCTATAGGGTAGATATCTCTTTTCCTATAGAATAGTAAACTTGGCGTTATCAATGATTTGTTTTCAAATACAACTGATTGAAGTTGAAAAAAAGGGACAAAACAAGCTCACGCATAGCTCAGTTTGATTAAAATGCGAGAAGGTCAAAATCTGCTGCAGTGACCCAGTAGAATAATCG